GTACTCTTGTCACAGGAGTCTGATATTGTGGCTTAAGGTGCACCAGTGAGCATTTTTCTGCTGGCAGTTTACAGTATGATACCCTGATTCATATACGATTGTGAAGATAGAAATCAGGTGCTCAGCAGAGAGTAAATCAGCACAGTGCACGGCTTGGTTGCCTCTGTTCTGTCTGCTGACAAGTGGCAGATGACTGTTTAATGCTACACAATTACACATGCATCATGCAGTAACATATTGTTATTGTTATTATTATTATTGACTTTGTATTATTTCAGGATATTACAAAAACAAAAAAATCTTTTGTTATGCTGAGGAACTTTGTGAATGTGATGCTGAGCCAAATTTTTTGAGTGGTGTGCTTTTGTAATTGGTGCCGTAGCCATGCCATGTCCCTTTTGCACGCATTAGGGTTGCTGTAGCCAAGTTGAAGTTTTGCATTTTTTCTCAGATGTCAGCAGTGATAATTAGTCCTTAAAAAATAAAAATTCTTATTTGCTTCCCCAAACTTTCATATAACCTGTCTTACTATGCATATCTTAGATATAATTTGATCATGAGTTTTCAGCCTTTTTGTCATAAAAGTATATGAATCCTGGTCTCTGATATCCATAGCAACTTGGCTGCTTCATCCAGAGTGCTTACACTAAAGGGTTCCTGGTACATGTTTAAAAAGAAACATGCTCACATCATGATGCATTGCTGCGTTCTTTAAGGTGATACTTTTCACATGTTCTGATATGCAATACAAATGTTGCTCTCTCAGACCTGATGCAAAGAAGTTGCTATAATGGATTATTTGCCAGGACTGCAATAAAAATATTACCCTAATCTTGATCATTAACCCTCCCCCCATTCAATTGTTATGATATTGACTTGTAATAATATCAGTGATAGAAATGAAGGGCTTCCATTTGGTTTAGCTAACTCAGGGTCAGTAATGAATGGATTACGAATGCTTGTAAACTTGTTGTCAGAAGCATCTGGCACTGCTGTTTTCTTTATTGGCATAATTTCTTTTTTAAAGGAACAACGTTACCATGGGTGTGGTTGATCCCAAATAACTTAATCCACAGATTTGCTCTTGTGATCTAAAATTGCATTGTGAATTGTGGCTATCATTTTTGTATGTGTTCAGGTACATATGGTTTTTAGTTTTTGAGTTCATGAATTATGCTAGATTCTCAGGCTTGTCATTCTTATCAGTATGTGAAGTTATCAAATAATTCCTGTTCATGAATTTGGTGTTTATTGACTTGTTTGCAGTCTTGTCTTCCGCTTGTAAGATGCTTTTGCTTAATCATTCAGTGGGAGAAAGTATGAATGAGTAATGATTTTGTATGCATATGTAATAGTAACGAATGCAGTATGATTACAAAGGTACAAAATATGCTAATGTTTTTCTTTGTTTTTTCCTCCAAAGTCTATTGTAATTTATTAAAGTTCTCATAGAGATTTGTCTAATTTTATAATTGATATAATGATCATATATAGGACATATATTTTTATGTAGCCTGGCATTAGGTCTTACAATTATAGAATGAAAAATTTCTTTGATGTTCAGCTTAAGACTATTATAAAATTCCTTAACTGCAAAATGAGCCTTAGGAAAATGAAATTCATATGTATACTAATAGTACAAAATCTGTTAGTGATTTTTACTTAGTGTTTTTCAACATAATTATTAGGTATCAGAAGATAGGGGAAAATATTCAGCAATACATTATGAGTGCTCTTTTCTATATAGTCGAGTAGTCTGAGATGTATCTAACATTCACCTTTTATGTTTGTGTGATATAATGTAGTTACTTCTAGTTCCAGAGGCATTTTGCAGTAAGTTTTTATATTAAATCAAACATTGCGTTTTAGAAAAAGTGAAGACAACAGAATTTTTAACAAGAAGGCATACACTGTATACTTTTTTCTTAGCTTGAAGTCTTTCCAAGTTTTGATGTTGCATTTGTTTAGAAGCAGCAGTAGGTTGTGTATATAGTACCTACAAATTTAGATGTCTAGACAATAACAAACTCTTAGAATTTCATGAGATGTTTATTGTAAGCAGTGATAGGTTTTCTTATGTCATATTAGATACTCTATACCAGTGTAGGTAGAATTCAGGAAGAATACCTGATGATAGAATTCAGGGAGAATCCGTGATATGTACAAGGGTCAAAGAAATGAGGAAAAAAAAAGGATACAGCTGTTGAAATATACCATAGATCTCAAGAACAAGAAGCTGAGAGAAATGACTGCTCTTCATAATCAGCAGGTGGCATAGGGAATCTTTTATTATATAGGTTTGCTAAGAGTTCAATAGGTCATGGACATTTTTCTTCCACTTCTTGTTTTCTTTCTTTTTTATTTATTAGGCTGTATTGGTATTCCCAAGATGCACTTTGCCATGGGGCTGCACTAGAATAAAGATCTGCACTAACCTTAATCTTATTTTCAGGCCAAGAGATTACCAAGGTCATGAATAGCAACAATGGCAAGGAAACTCCCCAGATCACATCACCTGTGTCTACTGTTGCTGATATGGCTGTGGACCAGTTGCAGGCCAATGAGAAGCTTATTGCAGGTTGGCATTGCTTTTTCTCTCTCTGTGACTTTTTATAAACTTTCTTATCATAGTGTTTGGTATCATTCATTGATAACTGGTATGAGAAATGCTTTGTCTTCTTTGTAGTCTTTTTTTTTTGTGTGTGTGTAGTACCTGTATGGTGAAAAAGATTAGATAAAAGGAGAAAAATAAGTTTTTTTTATTATTCTATGTTTTTTCTTAGCTAAAGGCTAAATGGCAAGCAATCAGTCAGTGTAATGAAATGTTTCATTTATTTTTTTATACTGGCAATATAACAAAGAAATGTTTTGGTATATCATTGATAATTTTCTCTTTTGTGAAAAATTTATTCAAAGGATATTATTTATATAAAGTTTCATTTTATAGATATCATTTGTAAAATGCATTGGCAATGTTTGGTTACCTAAAAAGCCTTTTTTTCTTTTTTTAAGGCTTTAAATATAGCATATTTATATGACATCATTATTTCAGAACTGAATGAGACATGGGAAGAGAAACTGAAACGTACAGAAAGCATACGTCTTCAAAGAGAGGCTGTATTTGCTGAAATGGGTGTAGCACTAAAGGAAGATGGAAATACTGTTGGCATCTTCTCTCCAAAGAAGGCAAGTCAAGTTTTAGTCTATGAATTATTGCCAAGAATATGGATAAAGGAGGCATTTTATTTTTCTCTCTCTATCTTTTATTTACCTATTTATGTTCAAGATGATTACACATTTAGATTGCTGATTTAGGTAGAACCATATCATGATTGGATGTTTATATTAATGGTGATAACAAGTATAGATGAATAGCATTTGTATGTTTATACAGATAGCAGTCCAATTACAATACTATTTGATATCATCACTTTTCACTTTTCATTATATCCCCAGACTCCTCACTTGGTGAATCTCAATGAAGATCCATCAATGTCAGAGTGTTTGCTGTACTACATTAAGGATGGCTTCACCAAAGTTGGTTCTGCTGAATCAAACATTCCGCAGGATATACAGCTCTATGGTGCTCACATAATGCCAGAACACTGTCAATTTGAGGTAAAGCATATTTCATTGTTAATGCTTGTTGAATTTTTTGTATTATTTCATAGTGATTTTGAAACCTCTAATAATGAATATTATTATTTGACCTGTATTAGCTTTTGGCCTTGATATTTATTGACTCTATATTAAGGGAATTGATAATTAGTAATTACAGAGTTTATTTTGTTTTGCAACAGAACAATGAAGGTGTTGTGTTGATACACCCTTGCCCTAAAGCGATGTCATATGTCAACGGTCGTGAGGTAGTGGAACCCACAGTTTTGAAAACTGGCTCTCGTGTCATTCTTGGCAAAAATCACGTGTTTAGGTTCAATCACCCAGAGCAAGGTAAGCAATAAGGATGTGGTGCTTTTGAGGACTTTAGGGATGATCAGTTTGGAATGTTATATAGGGTAAGGGACATGTCCACTATAGTTTATTTACAAGTTGCAAGATAATATAATTTTTTTTTTTTTTTGTGCTTAGGAGGCTTAACAGCTGTAAAAAGGAATTGCCTATGATTTGACCTTAAAGTTAGGACATTAGTAATTAGAAAATATCTTGTATGTCCATAACTAAAGATATTTGGGGGAAACAATTATTTTTCCAAAACACTCCAAAGCATCTACTAATCTCTCATTCATATGAGGAAAAAGCCTTAACCATCTTTTTTTTCTTCAGCCCGTGAACGTCGAGAAACAAAATCCCCAGCAGAGACACCGGGTTCAGGTGAGCCTGCAGATTGGCAGTTTGCCCAGATAGAGCTCTTGGAGAAGCAAGGCATTGACCTGAAGGAGGAGATGCAGAAACGACTGGTGGCCCTTGAAGAACAGTTCCAGCGTGAGAAGGAAGAGGCACAAAAAGAATTTGACAAGGAGAGAAAGGTATGAAATAAGGAGTGTCATTAACCTCTTACAACCAGGCATGCCTATAGCCGTCATGAAAAAATAACTCTTCATGGCAGGTACAGCTATAGGTGTCGTGACTCGCTATAGCAAGTCGATGCGATTGTGATTTGCGAAGTTCTAGCTTCGCCTGGGCCTTCGGCTATGGCCCGGATACAGCAAGTCGAGTGGGAAGTTCCATTATATGCAGCAGACTCCCCATCCAAAAGGCTAGACAGTTGCCAAAAGTCACTGGAATGAGTGACACCCAGAGAATTCTGGTACCATCATTGTAGGGTTTAAGAATGTATCTTAGCATTTTTATGTCTGGTTATTTTCAGTACTGATTCTAACATGACTGGGTATACTATGTTCTTCTGAGTGTCTTAAATTTCAATGGTGTGAGAGGGTATGCTGCACTATGTCTAATAATTTTCATATATGTCTGTTACTTTTCATTTAACAGCCATCTTTATGAGTGTGCATATTTTAGTCTTCCTTCACTTTTTTCATGTGTAAAGGAATGTATTGATGGAAGTTCATGTTCTGGAAAGGTTTCTAGACAATTATGGCAAGTCACATGAGAGATACAGCCATAATTCCTCTTGAAGTGAAAAGTTCACAAGACAGTTCTGTTAAAAAATTAAAGAAAGTACTGATATTCTTAGTTTAATTCCATGGTTTACATAAAGGAGAGTCATAAACTAATGTTGTGTGTTTTGAGCTATTGGCTAATATGTTATATAAAAACTTTTCTTTATAGATGCTATATATTATATTAATTTTAGAATCATGAATTAGTGGGTATTCATTTATCCGTATAATTCTGACAACAAAAAATAAGAGGAATACTGAGAATTTTGTTTTGTTCATGTTTTGATACTATGTAAATAACAGGTTATCTTTTGTAGATATGAATATGAATTAAAATATATACCTAGAGTCCAAGTAAGAGAGATACATCAGTCTAAACTGAAACACCCTTCCCCTTTGCCCCAACAGAACTACGAGGCCCGGATTGATGCCCTCCAGAAGCAAGTGGAGGAGCAGAGCATGACCATGTCCATGTATTCATCTTACACACCAGACGACTTCACCCACGAAGACGACATCTTTGGTGGGTTCCTCCATGTTCATTTCAAGAGCCCTTCTTTCTTTCCAACTGTGCGAGGAACATGTCTGTTCAGCCTTGAAGCTCTCCGTAACATTATATAGGCCTAGGGGTTGGAGTGTAGAAATGCTTTTGAAAAGAGAGAGCAACTCATCCCATTTGAGTTCATTTGCAGTTTGTATTGGCTAATATGCAATGGACAGACATTTTTTTATTTTCAGTATTTTCTTTATAATTTTATGATAGAGCTGGCACTATAGTCATTCATATTTGTCCGGTACTGCGAACAGTGACCAAAAAAAAGAACAACCCTTTTGCCCTGCCTTACAGAGGAGTCAGATTTGTTTTTATTTATTTTTTTATTTATTTATTTTTTATTTATTTTTTATTTTTTATTTTTTTTTTTTTTTTGTAGATTTTGCAATGCATGGAGACATGATTTGCTTGTGTCTGGAAGTAGTGCTGTGATCTAGTTTCCATTTTTATGGGCTCGTTTACTCTTTGGTTGAGGTACGAGTGTCAGTATTGTTATATCACACTCATACATAGTTGCTAATTAACTTGTGCTTTATTCCTTGGACACAAACAGATGTACAGCTGATGTTTAAACCCTTTTCTGATTAATCTGTATATATTGCCACATATGCTGTATTTATGTATATATACTTTTATTTATTTATTTGTTTATTTTTTTTACTGCTCAAGGACATTGTTATATTTTGAGTACTTTTAGAGGTTCATTTTTTAAGTTTGTGAGTATAAAACTGACTTTATTTCATTGCTATCTTTTGTATATACTCGCAGCTTATCATAGACATGAAAGTTTCAGTATTCATTTGAATATTATTTTGCAATTACTCAAGCTTTAGATAACTTTTTTTTTTTTTGTATTTTATTTAGTTTTAAATAGTTTGTTCGCTTTTAGAGAATTAACCAAAATATCCAAAAACTAAAAGTAATAACAACTTTTCAGTATGTCTATTTTTAGAGAGAAAAAAATATATATATTCTGAAAAAAAAAAAAATATGAACTGGTTTCATATTTCATGGCTCTAGCTTTGCCTTTTTTTATCTGTACCAGGCTTGCATAAGGAGGTTAGTAGTGCTGTAAACTACTATAATATTATATATCTATGCATCTGTGACCTCAGTGTATCTTGATATCTTTGGAGTTACACTGAAGTCCATTATTGGTTGCTTGCAAGTGCTGATGTAGCTAAAAGAGGTAATTAATGGAGCCTGTTTCAAGATAAGTGATAAGAAATCTGTTGATTTAAGATCCTTATATATAGTACAGTTGAATAGAGTACATGATATATGATGTAGGAGAATTTCCTAGATGTTAAGGGATAATAGTAGCCTTATTTGTACTCTACACCTTTGCTTAGCACAGTCACTAGCATTGTTTTTTTTCTTCTTCTCATTTTTTCAGTATAAAAGATATAGATTATTACTGATTGATGATTTAGAATATGGTAAAGACTATCAAATGGGTAGCAGAATTAGGACCTTTATAGCAACCTAATCAAGAGCAAGCGGAAATCTTGTATATTTTATTTATTCTTCTAATTTTGGTGTTTGATTTTTTTTCTTTTCTTTTCTTCTTCTCCTTCTTTCTGTATTTCTTAAGTTCACTTTAACTAGATTCTTCCTTTTTTTCTCTTTTTTTCCAGTTCTTTAAATGTTTATTTGTTATTACAGGGCAAGGACTTTATTCAAGGTCTGTTCTGTTTGGCATCTGGCCTTATATGATTACGATAAGCAGTGTTAGCTTGCTTTAAAATGTTTCTTTTTATTTGAAATTTGACTTTTTTTTTCTCTCTCTTTTTTTTCCCATTTTTTTCTTTCAGTAAATTATATCGAATGAATCCTGCATGAGACCTACATGCTTTGAAAATTTCTGGCCGTGTTTAAAATAGAAAGCAGACAAACTTGTGGCTTACCATAGTGTTATGACCAATGTTGTATCCCCCTTAAAAGATGATGCTATGGCAAAGTGCCGCCACCACTTCCCCCCGCCCCCCAGCCCCCAGACCACCCCCACATATTAGCGTCTTGGCTGATGACTCCCACTTCCCGTTACTTGCATCCGGATGTTCATGTAAAAAGATCAAGTATTCTCTTAGCCTGATGTTCTTTTCCTCTTCTGCTACTACTACTACAACTATTACTATTACTACTAATCTCCTATTACTTATACTACTTGTACTATTTCTCCTTATGATCTTTCTTCCTTTTTTTTTTCTTTTTTTTTTCTTTTTTTTATTAATTAATTAATATGCAGTGATGTCTTTATGAGCAATACTAAAGATTTATGTTTAGCTCAACTTGGTTTAACATTTCCTTGGTTTACTGTTATCACTATTATTTTTTTTATTATAATTATCATTAATTTATTATTGTTACTATTATTATTATTATCATTATTTATTAAAAGCTCACAATTCACGTTCTCTAGCATGATCTTAAGTTCTAAATCACAGAGATGGACCATGTAGTATCTTTGCAGTTTTCACAACACAAAGGTTAGCTCAGGAGGCGGGAGTAGATTTTAATCTCACTAACCATTAGATTGTGTTCATGGTGAGCAAGAATTATGGATGTGAAATAATCAAATTCAAATAAAATTATTTTGAGCCATTTATTTTTACATTTGTTTTTATTTTATTTTTATGTATTATCAGATAAGGTCACTCTATAAAAAAAAAAAGAAAAACGAAATTCTACTATTGGCTCTAGCAAAAACAAGACCTTAAAGTTCCATCTGTTTCCTTTTGTTGTTATTTAAGTTTTTGCCTCAAAATTACTTCTTGGTTGAGAACAGCTCTTGATGGTTGCTCAGTGGTCCCAGCATTGAGATAGCTGACAAGCATAGCTAATGCTTTCTGTTGATGTTTCAGTAAACCCCTTGTTTGACGCAGAGTGCAACTGGACGGAACGGGAGTATGCCTTGGCCTCTTGGGCCTTCCGCAAGTGGAAGTACCACCAGTTCACCTCCCTCCGAGACGATCTTTGGGGCAACGCTATTTTCCTCAAGGAAGCCAATGCCATCTCAGTTGAGCTCAAGAAGAAGGTAAACTTTCTCACCATTCATTTACATTTATTTGGGCAGTTTTTTAGATAATATGTTTATTATTGTTTTAAGGCAGTTGATACAGATATTAAGTGATGCAATGTGATTTTGTGAGTAAGTGTAAAATCAAAACAAACTTATCATTCTATACAAGTGCCAGATTTGAATTTTAAAGTGTACAATATAGTTTTGATATCATATACCATATAACCATTTGTTCCCTCTTCTCTCCTTCCAGGTCCAGTTTCAGTTCACCTTGTTAACTGACACACTGTACTCTCCACTGCCTCCTGACTTCCTTCCACTGCTAGAGGAAGAAGAGGAGGAGGACGAGGAAGACCGCCCAACTCCACGCACGATTGTTGCAGTTGAGGTTCAAGACACAAAGAATGGAGCCACACACTACTGGACCCTAGAAAAATTAAGGTACAATATGGTGTTGGTTTTCACTGTACAGTTTGTCCATCCTCCATTTTTATTTGTTCCTTGTGTCTAAGGATCTCCCCTTTTATTTATTGGTTTGCACAGATCTTTTTCTTCCTTTTGATTAGTGTTTGTAGCTTTTGATTTGTGTTTTTTTATGATCTGTTGCTGTTGTCTGGATTTGTTAACATCTAAGTTGGTCCGTTTTTGTGAACTGTGTTGGGTGGCTTTCTTCTGTCATTGCTGCA